CCCCTTTGCAGATTTGGATCTTTTCCCCTTCCCCAAGTCTGTGTCTGTTGTCTCACATTATCCCTCTTTATGCTGTGTGTTCATTTCTACGTTACAGTAGCTATTGTCTTCTCTTTTTAAAGTGTTTTCTTTTTTTTACCTTTTACTGTTATATAACATTTATGCTTATAATACTCTGTTATTAATAAGGGTTTCACTTTTCTGCTTCTGTCTATATGTTGGTCATTTTACACTCAGTTATGTATTTTTTTTTGTCCTTTTGTTTCAGGTAGAATTACCCCTTTTGGTATTTCCTAAAATACAGGCCTTGTGGCAGAAAATTTTCTCAGCTTTTGTATCTCTGAAAAGGTCTTTATTTCTTCTTTATACCTGAAGGAGAACTTTACTTGATATACTATTATTGGCTTGTAACTTCTCTCTTTTAAAAGTTTATTCAGTTCCACTCCCTCCTAGCTTGTAAAGTTTGTGCTGAAAAGTCCAATGCTAATCTAATGGGTTTTCCTGTCTGTATAGGTTATTTTCCCTGGCTGCTTTGATAATTTTTTATTTTTCATTAATTTTTGACAATTTTTGTATAATGTGTCTTGGATAAGGTCTTTTTTGTTGGGATAATTGGGTGTTCCATTTGCTTCTTGGATTTGAACATCCAGTTCTTTTCATAGGTTTGGGAAATTTCTAGGCTACTATATGTTTGAATATGTTCTCTGTTGCCTTTTCTCTCACTTTTCTGGTATACCCATTAATTTTATGTCGCTCTTCTGATGGTGTCAGATCTCGTATAGTTCTTTAATTTTTTTTCACAAGTGTCTCTCCTTTCTACATCTTTTCTAGATTTCTGTCTTCGATATCATTAATTCTTTCCTCCATCTGATCAGTTCTATTTTCTATGCTTGCTATTTCATTCTTCATCTCTTTTAGTGCTTCATCTCCGGAAATTCTATTTGGTTCTTTTTTAGGGTTTCAATATCCTTGGTAATGTATTCCTGTTGTTCATTGATTTTGTTTCATAATTCTTTCCATTAGAATTTGCTTGCATCTCATTGAGTTTTTTCAGAAGTGCAATCTTGAATTCTCTGTCATTTAAATGGCATATTTCTATATCTTTAAGTCATTTCCCACTTGCCTCAAGAATAATCATAAGCAGTGCTTGTGGCTGCAACTTTTATCCTAAGATAACTCACAGATTACAGTCCTAACCTTACCCCCAAAGTTTACCTCAAAGTATCTTGCTTTTATTATTATATTCCCATTGCTCCATTATATTGATAGTTTTGGAAACAAATTACATCATTCTATTTATAGCATTCTGTTTTTAATAGTGGTATTTCCATTTCCAAAATATAGTAACTTTCAATTGCCGAAAATGTCAAATCCTAGAAAACAGCATTCCTACATGTGATGTTAAATTAATGCTGGCAGCAAGCTGCACTTTTTTTTTTTTTTCCTAAACAGGAGAAGGGTGAAGCTTAATTTTTGGAGATTTTTCATTTTCTTTTTGAACTGCCTTGAGTCCTTAGTTGTTCATGGTGTTTGATAGACTATTTCTCCACTTAGGCATTAATGGGAATGTAATCTTTTTCTTTTTCTTTTTTTTTTTAAGTTTGTCTTTAGCAGGTTGATAAGAATAGGTTTTTCTTTTGATTTCCAGTAGGTGGCACCCTAGCCTCCTACACTGCCCAAGCCTACTGGATAGCTGGTTTGATGTTAAGAATCCCCCTTTTGTCCTGGAAATGTGTATATCTCCTCTGTGTCCATGTTGCCTAGGTCCCAGGGTTCCACCCCTGAGGAAGCATGTGAAGGGCAATGGGAGTCCGAGCCTCTTAAAAGTCCCTGAAGCCCTGGTACTGCTCCAGTTGTCAGGTGCAATGCTCTGTTGCTTCCTTGTGAATCATCCTGACTGGATTAGGGGTTCAGTGAATTGGAAGAGACTAGCTTTAGGTGTGACTGTTTTCTTTCCAGTGATACTGGCTCAGGCTTCAGCTGTTTTCTATCTCTATCCCCCTCTCCTATCTCTGGGGCTGTAATGAAGGAAACACAGGCCTGGAACTTGCACCTGGGTGTGGATATTCTGGGAAAACCATCAGGAGGACCATGGGGGTGAGAAATGCTGTTTATTACTCACGAGGCAGGGAAGCTTCAGCAGCGGCCATTTGGAGCAGCAGGAAAAAAGCTGCTGCTAACCAAGTGCAAGCAGTTTTTTTTTATGCATGCAAGCAGAGGGAGGAGTTATCTCATTGGGAGAGCAGCCACCTTCTCAGATGGATGAGAGCAAGATGTGCCGCTTGGTTACAGGAGCAGATAACTTCCATGGGAGTACCAGAAAAGGTCCTTGGGAGCAGGCATTGCTGAAAGCTCTTTGTGTTCTGCCGCCTTTGGCAGCTGGCTAGGCAGCTATCAGTCTTCTGAGTACATGGACGGGCTATGTTCTGAGTTAACCCTAAACAGACAAGCTGCTATATATGTTTCAGTTCTGCTTATGCAATATACCCCGTGGGCTGAGGAAGGGCATACTCTGGGATGGTGGAGCATGGCAGTCAGGCTTGGTGACTCCCCTTTCTTCCTGGCAAGACTGTTGCTGAGACACAGTTGTCACTCCTCCTCAGTCTTTGCCTTGCTTTCTACCGTGCTCCCTGGGTTCCGCTGAGTGGAATATGCTTATCCCTCAGGCAGGACTGTTCAGGGCTTCATGGAGTCAAGAAATTGTCACTTTGTTGTTTTTTTCCTCCCCCTCCCCCTACTGGGATCTCTGGGCTGCTTTCTGCAGTGCCTGGCTCTGTCTTTCTCTGCTCCCTCTCTCATGTGCCTGAATAGCCCACCTTTTGATACTGTGATGCGCAGATCTGTCTGATGTGCAGGTTGGATGTTATTTGTTGAGATGTGGGTGTTTAGCTCCTTTTAGTTTCAAGGGGAGATCGGGGAGATCCCTTACACTGCTATGCTTCTTATGTCAGGCTAGATTTTTATCTTTGATGTCATTAATTCTTTCCTTCATCTGGTCGGTTCTATTTCCTAACTTGCTAGTTCATTCATCTCTTTTATGAGTTCTTTTGCTCTGGAATTCCGATTTGGTTCTTTTGTAAAGTTTCAGTCATTTTGTAAAGTACTCCTTTTGTTTGTTGATTTTATTTCTGCATTCATTGAATTTCTTTCTTTCTTTCTTTCTTTCTTTTTTTTTTTTTTGAAGCCTACTGCACCTGGTATTCCTAGGTGGTCTCCCATCCAAGTACTAACCAGGGCCAACCCTGCTTAGCTTCTTAGATCAGACGAGGTCAGGCATGTTCAGGGTGGCATAGCCATAGACATATTCATTGAATTTTCTGAGTTTTGTTATAGCTCATTTAATTTTTTCAGAACTGCAATCATGAATTCTCTGTAATTTAAATTATATATTTCCATATCTTTAAGTTTATTTTCTGGAGAAGATTAATTTTTATTCTGAATTGCCTTTTTACCTTGGTTATTTATGGTGTTTGATGGATTAGTTCTCTGGGCATTTCTGGTAATGAAATTTGGTTTTTTAAAGAGTGTTTAGTATTTCTCTATTTAGCAGGTTGATTCTGTTTTCCAGTAGGTGGCACTGAACTGCAAATTTTAATTTTCTCTTGTACTGCTAAGACTTTGTGGATTTGTGCAGGGTGGTGGAAAGTATTCTATATTTCCTGGATGGTGGCTGTCCCCTCTGTGACTAGGTTGCCTTGGTCTTAGGGCAACTTCCCAAAAAAGAATGTGGTGAGCATTGGGGTCCCAAGGCCGTGAAATCCTAGCACTGCTTCCTGCAAATAGATGCTGCCAGCAGTACTCTGAGATGTCTCAGATGCCTTTACTGGGCTTTGACGCTATAGGGATAGGAGTGAGGCGGGCTGGGAGAATCATCTAGATATCACTCAGATAAGTACTTAATAAGTACCCATTTATTTGTATGTTTGTAGCTTTTTTCTGCTCTCAGTAATGGCAGCTTCCAGACCTCAGCTGCCACACCTCTGTATCATTGCCCCTGTCACTGGGATTAGCTGCAGTTTGCTCTTGCCAGCTCAGGAAAGAATGTTTCTACTTCTCTAGTTCTCAGGGTGATAGTGTGCTCTGAAACCTGACACTCACTGCTACGGTTTCTGCTGTAGCCCACTGAGTGCTCTGGGAGGGTAACAGAGGTGGCTGAAGGTCTGGGGCTTTGTTTTTTGCCTGGTAATGATGGCTGCTAGACCACAGCTGCTACATCTCTGTGCTCCGTCCCTGCCCCTGTCACTGGGCTCACCCATAGTTAAGTGCTGATTACTCAGGCAGGAATGTTGATACTACCTCTCTGCTCTCTATGACTGCAGAGTGTACGTGCCATAACCTGATTCCTCTCCTGCTCCCGAGTCTGGCAGTGAGCTCTAGTCTTCATCTATGGCACCTATCTCCATTCTTTCCCTGTCCCTCCTCCCTGGTTTGCTCTGATTTGCCCACCTTCAGATGTTGCAATGTGCAGATCTCTCAAATGTGTTTGTGTTGAGCAGGGAATCCTTTGTTGAATTATATAGTTGTCCAACTTGTGACTTAAAGGGGAGAGACCAGGAGGACAACTCACGTGCCTTGCTGCTTATGTCACACATGATTTTTTTTAACTTAAATGTCATATGCTCATAGGATTTCTTTATCTTAGACAGCCAATAACTTTAGTAGAATAGTCTCTGTTTTAATTACTATTATTTTTTTCTGTAATGCAGTGTACTTTTTAGCTTATTGTTTCAAACTTATAATTCAGGAAAGTTTTCTTGAAGTACATGTTTGATTTTTTTGGTCTATTCTGTTTACTTTAGGAACAGCAAATTTTGTGTAAGTTGATATTTCCACTTGTGTATTTTATTCTCTCATAACTATCTTGTCTTTTAAATTGTTTTCAAGATTTTTAAAGGATGATGACTCTTATATGCATAAGTGAATCTTATGAAAGTCCCTGAACAGATATTTAGTCACATTTAAGACACAGTTATTAACTTATTATTTTTTTATTTTTTCAGGTTCTCAAAATTCGTTTCTACAGATCGTATTTCCAGAGAAAATTCAAGCAAATACAAGTGATAATTCAGAAGCAGAAAATGTAAAAGATATTTTTCACAATCAATGTTATATGAAATTTCTTACTTTTGTTACATAGCAATGAAATATGTCAGTCTTATTATAGTATGAATATAAATGTCCAGTATTACTTCTGATAAGGAATTTAAAGTATTGATGGTAAAAGCAAATACATAAATCAAAATATTCTATTTTTGTCTAACATTTGTCATTTCCTCTTGGTAAAACTATTAAAAGTTCAGATACAGCAAATAATGTGGAAGAATTAGGTACTTATCTGAGTCATATCTACATAATTCATATGAAGAGGAGGATAATTTCTCCAAAATGGATAAGGAGTCTGTTTAATTAAATCCTCCTTCCTTAATCTCTACCCTAGCACCTACCAGTTCTCAAAGAAAAGAAACCCTTTATTCTATTATTTTTGTTAGAAAGGAAGATACTTTATCTCATTCATCAATTTATTTAACAAACATTTCTCTGGACTTGTGAGCATAGCTATATGCTAACTATCTTAGGAGATAAAAAGAAATACAATGAATCAAGCCTTGTTTCTAGGTGGTCAATATTTTGATAACATTTTATTTTTAACACTATTACTGAGGTATAATTTGCACACCACAGAATTCATCCATTGTTAGTGTATACAACTCAATGATTAGTATATAAATAGAAGTATGTAAGCATTACAACAATCCAATTTTGAACAGTTCTGTTGTCTTAAGAAGTTCCCTCATGCCTATTTGCAGTTCTATGCTTCCATTCTCAGCCCTTGGCAACTGCTAATTTGTTTTCTGTTTCTATAATTTTGCCTTTTCTAAGCATTTCATATAAATGGAAACATGTGATAGACCTTTTGCATGAGGCTTCTTTCTCTTAGGTTTATCCATTTATAGCACTTACCAATAGTTCATTAATTTTTATTTTAGTAGATTTTGTTTATAATTCACGAGTTGATAGAAATTGAATTGTTTTCAGATATTAGCTATAATGAATAATTCTGTTATGAACATTTATGTGTGGACATAAACTTTCCTTTCTCTTGGGTAGGTTCTTAGTGAAATTGCAGTGTCATATGGTAAGTTTGTGCTTAACATTTAAAGAAACTGCCAAACTGTTTTTCGTAGTGACTGTACTATTTTATACTTCCCATCAGCAATATATGAGGATTCCAGTTTTTTTACTTGTTAGCACTTGATGTTGTCTGTCCTTTTTGCTTAAAGTTATTCTAGTGGGTGTGTAGTGTTTTCCATTGTGGCTTTAATTTGAATTACTCTTATGAAAGATGATGTTGAACATCTTTCATAAGCCTCTTAGCCATTTACACATCTTTTTTGTGAAATGTTTATTCAACTCATTTATTCCTTTTTAAATTGAGTTGTTTTATTTTCAAATTATAAGGCTTCATTATATATTCTAGATACAAATTCTTTGTCTAATATATGATTTACAGTTATTTTCTCCCAATTCGTGTCCTGACTTATTGTTTTCTCATTGGCATTTTTTGAAGCGTAGACATTTTCAATTTTAATGATGTACAGTTTATCAAATTTTCTTTTTATAAATTTTGTTTTCAAGGAGCTATGTTATGGACTGAATTGTGTACCCTTGCCCCAAATTCATATGTTAAAGCCCTAATCCCCAAAGTGACTGTATTTGGAGATAAGACCTTTAGGAGATAAAGTTAAATGCATTCGTAAGAGTGGGGCCCTAATCTGATAGGCCCTGTGTCTTATAAGAAGAGGCAGAAACCTCAGATTTCTCTTTCTCACCACCTGCACACAAAAAAGGTAATGAGAGGACTCAATGAGTATATGGCCCTCTAAAAGCCATGAAGAGAGATCTCACCAGAAACTAACCCTGCTGGTACCTTAGTCTTGGACTTCTAGCCTTCAGAAGAGTGAGAAGACAAATTTCTGCTGTTTAAGCCACTCAATCTGTGGTATTTTGTTAAGGCAGCCTAAGCTGACATACAGATTTTGTTTCTGTGAAGTTGGCTGTGGCCATAACAAATACATAAAAATGTAGAAGTGGCTTTGAAATTGGGTGATAGGTAGAGGCTGGAAGGTTTTTTTTTTTCTTTTTAATATATATTTTTAATTTTCCAAGTACAATTGACATACGATATTATTTAAGTTTCAGGTATACAACATAGTGATCAGACATCCATATAACTTACAGTGATAACCTCAGAAAATCTAGTACACATTTGACACGATATATAGTTATTACAGTATTAATAGCTATATTACCTATGCTATATTTTACACCCCATGACTATTTTGTAACTTCCAATTTATACCTCTTAATCCCTTCCCTTCTTTCACCCATCCTCCAGCCCCCTTTCCACCTAGTAGTTGTCAAAATATTCTCTGTATCTGTGAGTACTTCCATTTTATGTATTCATTTATTTTGTTTCTTAGATTCCACATATGAGATCATATGATATTTGTTTTTCTCTTTCAGACTTATTTCACTCAGCATAATACCTTCTATGTACTTTCATGTTGTTGCAAGATTTCATTCATTTTTTATGGCTGAGTAATATTCCATTATATATGTGTACCACTTTTTCTTTATTCATTCATCTATTGATGAACACTTAGGTTGCTTTCAGATCTTGGCTATTGTAAATAATGCTGCAATGAACATATGGATACATATGTCTTTTTGAATTAGTGTTTTTGGTTTCTTCAGATAAATACCCAGAAGTGTAATTGCTGTGTCCTTCTTTGTGTCTCGCTATAGCCTTTGTTTTAAAGTCTATTTTGTCTAATATACGTATTGCTATTGCAGCTTATATATTTATTTTTGTTTCCATTTTCATGAAATATCTTTTCATTCCTTTATTTTCAGTCTCTGTGTGTCTTATGAGCTGAGTGAGTCTATTGTAAGCAGCATATGTAAGGGTATTGTTTCCCTATTTATTCAGCCACCCTGTGCCTTTTGATTAGAACATTTAATTCATTTACATTTAAAGTAATTGTTGGTAGAAATGTAGTTATTGTCATTTTATTATTTATACTTTTTATCTTTTTATCCCTTAAAGAAGTTCCTTTAACATTCTTGTGATACTGGCTTGGTGGTGATGAATTTCTTTAGCTTTTTCTTTTCTAGGAAACTTTTTATCTCTCCTTCGATTTTAAATGATAGCTTTGCTAGGTAGAGTAATCTTGGTTGTAAGTCTTTACTATTCATCACTTTGAGTACATCATGCCATCCTTTCGGCCTGCAAATTTTCTGTTGAGAAATCAGCTGACAGTCTTATGGGAGCTCCCTTGTATGTAACTAACTACTTTTCTCTTGCTACTTTTAAGATTCACTCTTCGTATTTAAACTTTGACATCTTAATTATGATGTGTCTTGGTGTGTGCCTCTTTGGGTTCATCATGTTTGGGACTCTATGCTTCCTGGGTTTGCATGCTCGTTTCCATTGCCAGGTTAGGGAAATTTTCCGTCATTATTTCTTTGAATAGGTTTTCAATTTCTTTCTCTCTTTTCTCCTTCTGGTACCCCTATGCTGCGAATGTTGGTGTGCTTGATTTTGTTCCAGATGTCCCTTAAACTATCCTCATTTTTTTAGATTCTTCTTTTCTTTTTGCTATTCCAATTGTGTGTTTTCTGTAACTTTGTCTCACAAATTGTTGACTTGATCCTCTTCTTTAATCTGATGTTGATTCCTTATAGTGTATTTTTCATTTTAGTTATTGTATTCTTCATTTTTGACTTTTTTTATGGTTTCTATGTCCTTTTTTATGCTTGCTATTTCTCTTTTGAAATTCCAACTAAATTTCTTGAGCATTTATATCACCAGTGTTGTGGACTCTGTTTCTGGTATATGCTTGCCTCAGTTTCATTTCATTTTTTGGAGGGGAGGGATTGTTCTTTATTTGTGACATGTTTCTTTGTTTTCTCATTCTGACTGCCTCTCTGTGTTTGTTTCTATGTATTAGGTAGATCTCCTATGTCTCCCTTCAGTACTGAGTCTGGGTTAGCTCACCAAAAGGCCCAGGATATCTTGAGTCGTGCCACTCCCTGCTGCTCAGATGATGAAAGTGTTGTAGCCACCAGCCCCCAATAGACACATGCACCACCAGAAATCAATGAGTTATAGGAAACACACTCTTTATTCAGCCAGCTGGGTCTGCCAGGGGTACGCAAACCCCAAATTAAGCAGTCCCAAAATTTAGAGATACAGGTTTTTAAGCCCTAAACCCCATTCTTTATACTGTTTGAACACACAAGTCTATTTTTCTTCTTTTTGCTAACTGTCAACCCACAGGTCGGTTGTGCAAGTGGAGGGTACAGAAGCAGAAAGCTTATTGTTAGAGCGTTATGTTCCCATGGGCGATAGTCTATGTTCCCATGGGCGATAGCCAAGCAGTAATTTTCCAGCCAGAACAAAAGAGCCTTGGGCAGTATGCTAGTTGGGTAAGATGGGATCTCAAGTAGTCACCAGGGTTGGGCCAGTGATGCTCACCAAGTTAATGCAGATTCAGGTTCGGTGCCAGTGCTGAGCCTAGTGCCACACAGAAAAAGGCTCAGAGTACACCAAGACCAGTAGCTGTCATCCTAGAGCCTCTGGAACACCAAGAGTTGTCCAAGAAAGACTGCAGCACAGTCTGGGGCTTGCCGCCTGCCACCGAAATTACCTTCAGCAGTGCATCAGTTGAGTGGGGCAGGGTCTAAAGGAGTCTCCAGGATAGAGTGAGTGTATTTTGCCAAGTCAATGCAGATTCAGATTTGGCCTATGCAAGAAGGGCTCAACACAAGAAAGATGACACCTACCCATAGACTGCACAGGAGGGCTCAACACAAGAACAATGGGAGCTGTTCCTCCAAGCCCTTGCCCTGTAGCGACATAAGTCAGTCTCTTCCTGTATGTCTCTGGCACCTCCTAAGCTGCTATTCTTCTGCTGGAGCCCAGCACAAGTGCCTGGAAGTGAGAGAGTCTGTATTCAGGCCCTTTAAGAGGATGTTTGGGTTTCTAGCAATCTTCTGTCTCACCCAGATGGACAGAAC